CAGCCCAAGGTGGCCCGCCTGTCCTTCTTCCTTTTCTCCTCGGCTTCAAGCTCCTTCAGTTTCACCTTCAGCGCGGCAGACCACGGGGGCCAGCACGGCAGACCAGAGCACAGCAGACCAGCAGGGCAGACCAGAGCATGGCAGGCCAGAGCACGGCAGACGGGCACGGTTGACCAGCACGACAGACCAGCATTGCAAAGTAGCAGGGCAGACCAGAGCACGGCAGACCAGAGCACGGCAGACCGCAGCACCAGCAGAGGAACCACGCAGACGCGCGGCAGACGACAGGAACACGGCAGAACATACAGGAGCATGGCAGACCACATAGCACCACGGCAGAGCACTTGCAGCTGGACAATTCGTTAGTCGCGGGCCCCCGACATGTCGAGGGTCCGTGCCGATCGCCTCTGCCGTGATGCGACGTAAGAATGTAGCGGTGACCGAGCTGGTTGTCGTGGCAAGGTGCGGGGCTGTTGCGCTGGTCTTGATCTGAGCAGCCGAGGCAACCGTTGCGCGTCCGCCCTCCGTTCTTGCCAGCGTCGTTGCTCGCGCGCTTTGCTGTCCGACCAGCTCTGCGGAACGGCCCGTCGCGATGCTGACTTGGAGCCCCATTCCAACGCATCGGGCCGGGAGCCGCCGCGAGAGCAGCCCATGAGAGCAGCCCCGCCTTGCCCGAGGACTTCCCCCGAGGGCTCCGCGCCGCCGCGGAGCGCCCCAGGACGGCCCGAGAGGGCGGCCCAAGAATGCCCCCGGCGACTGCTCCGCAGCCGCGTCGGGCCACATGATTTGGATTCCAGCCACCGCGGCTACAATAATCCGATCACTTCGGGGACAGCGGGCGGCCTGCGCCGCCTGGTGGCGAGCGGGCTGCGCGCCGACGCGGGCGCCCCGACGCACTCGCGCGGCCCCAACCGGTCGGCCCCCATCTTTAGGGGCGCTCCGTGGGCGGGAACGCCGCGGAGACATTCCGCGGCAAGGCGGGCCGGCTCCACCGCGCGGGGCGCTGCGACAACGAGCGCGAGCTTGCCCTCGGCTTCGCCCTTCCCCCCCGGGGCGGGCAGCAACGGCGACCTGCGGCCGCGCGGCCTACCGCCGCGCCCAGCGGGGCCCCGGTGTAGGGGGCGGCCCATATCTGAAGGCAAGGATCTGCGCAGGTAGTCTGCGGGCATGGCGGGGGGACAGTTCCCCGACGTGGTCGCAGTGGGCAGCTCCCCGCGGGGCCCGCCGACGCGGGCATCGCGGGGCGCCGAGGACGCGAGAGCAGAGCGACTGCACCAGTGGGGCGTCCGCGGTCTGAGGAGTGTTTTGGCCCGCGCGTCCGGGGCGCGCCCGGAAGGGCCGCGTCGCCTTCAGGACTGCGCCTGCGGGGAGCAAGACAAAGTGGGTCACGAATGACGTCGCGGCAATGTCTGCCGATGGAGCCCGCGCGATGCGGAGGGAACTGGGGAGGCGCATGAGAAACGGCAAGCTGTGCGGCAGGTCCGAGGTGATCGAATGCAGCAAGACCGTGGACGATCTTATCCAGGAGCGCGGTTCGTCCATCCGTCCCTGCGGTAGCGCGGAGCCCTCCCGAAATGCGATCTTCCGCCTCCTGAACGTGACGACGGCAGAGGAGAAGGCGTAGGTGAACGATGGCAAACGGTTGGCGTCGGCGCCTGGCGGCGATTGGGACGAAGCGGGCGGCATCCCGCAAGGCGTTGGCCAGCCCGCTTTTGCGCGTTGATTTGCCGCGCGTTGGCGCTCCAGCTGGCATCTGGTGCCACAAAAGTTGCTGTTGTTGCTGCAGCTGCTGCCGCTGCTGCTCTTCCTCGTCCTCCCGCGCGTAGAGCGCCGAGACGGCGAACGAGTATACTGGCCGTTCCCGACAGGCCTGTCTGAGCGCAGACCGCGGCCTCCGCGACGCGCAGGGCCTGCCTGAGGGCCAGGAGAGGAGGCGGCCCGCTGCGACGTTCGACGACGACCCGAGCAGCCTCCCTGCAGGGGGCGGCGGCCACAGGGTCGGCGCCCGAGCGGGAGCGTTCCGTGGCATCTGCGGCGGCGGTCCTCGGCCTCGGAGCGGGGCCGCTCATCGTGCTGGGCCGCAGCCCGCGCTGCGCCTTGGCCGACGGCGCGGGCGAGGGCCCCACGGGGCGCCCGATCGGTTGCAGCCGCCGCGGCGCCCGCGCTGACATTGACGGGGGCAGAGGGCCCAAGCTGAACGAAGGATTGCAAAAACGAAGGATTGCAAAAACGAAGGATTGCAGAAACGAAGGGTTTTTGTTTGCAATCCTTCGTTGCAATCCTTCGTTCGAGTGCCCGAGCTGCCCACCCAAGGAGCCCCAAAGGGCGAGGGCGGTCGAGACCAGAGCTCCGCCGATGGGAGCGCGGGCAGCACGGCAGGAGGGCGCGCAGGGAAGGAGGAGGCCATCGAGGCCCTGCGCCAGCTGGACACCGCCAGCGAGCTGCGCGGCGACATCCCGGCCTGGCTCGGCGCGCGGCCCGGGGAGGCGGCGCCCGCGGCAGCCGTCGGACCCGCTGGCCGCGGAGGGGGGCGGGGGAGAGGCGGCCACCTCCCGCGCGCCGAGCTCGTCGCCAGCGGGCCGGCCGCAGCCGCGATCCGCCGCCCAGAAGCCATGCAGGCACGCGGCCTGGACGAGGTCGGCGCGGCCCGAATGGGCGGACGAGGTGGTTGCGGCGGAGGAGCGCAAGCGGAGACGCCTCGTGGGCCCCGTTGAGCAGTCAGCTTAGGGGTGGAGGGCGTGCGGCGGCGGTCTGCCCGCCTATCTAGGCGGCAGCACCTTCCAGCGGGCCTCCGCAGAACCAGAAGGTGTCTAGCGAGATTGCGCTGACGCGCTCTCTCCGCCCCCCAGGCGCGTGGCCCTGTGGGGCTCCGAGGCTCTGGCCCGTTCCCCGCTTGGCCCCTTGGGTGGATGGGGGCCTTGGTGGCCCTGGGTTCCGGCCCAAGGTGGCCCGCCCACCTTTTTGTTCCCCTTGTTTCGTTGGCTCCACGCTTCCACATCTACAGCTACACACAGGAGCACGGCTGATTTCACAGGAACGCCCCACGTCATAGGAGTGCGGCATACCACGGGAGCACGGCAGGCTACACAGGAGCATAGCAGACCACGGCAGGAACGTTGCAGATCATAGGAGCACGGGAGCACGGTAGCCCACAGGAGCACGGCAGACCACAGGAGCATAGCAGTTGGCAGGAGCACGGCAGACCACACCGAAGTACGGCGGACCTCGCAGGAGCACGGCAGACCACAGAAGCACAGCAAAACACGTCACATGAGCACGGCAGACCACACGCACGGCATACCACAAAGGAGCACGGCAGACCACAGGAACACGGCAGAGCACACGGGTGCACGGCCCGCACGGCAGACCACAGGAGCATGGTCGACCTCAGGCCTCGGCAGCACCCCGGATCCCGGATTCCAGATCGGACGCTCTCCCTCCTCATCTCTCTTTCATCTCCAGCGCCAGCTCTGTCGCATGCAGGATTCCGGATTTCGGGATCCAGATTTGGGATTCGGCCAGTTCGCAGGCTCAGCTCCATCCCAGCGCCAGGTCTCAGCAGCATTCCGGATTCCGAATTGGACTTCCTTCCTCATCTTTGTCATCCCCAGCGCCAGTTCGGTAGCATTCCGGATTTCGGATTCCAGATTCCGTATTACATATTCGGTTGGCTGGCAGGCTCAGCTCGATCCCAGCGCCAGGCCTCAGCAGCATTCCGGATGCCGGTTTCCCGACGGGACTTCCTCTGCCCTCATCTTTGTCACTCCCAGCGCTCAGTAGTATTCCAGATTCCAGATTCCAGATTCGGCTGGCTGGCAGGTTTAGCTCCATCCCAGCGCCAGGCCTCAGCAGCATTCGGATTCCGGATTCCGGATTCCGGATTCCGGATCGGACCTCTTTCCTCCTCATTCTCTCATCCCCATCGCCAGCTCGGTCAGCATTTCGGATTCCGGACTTCGGATTCCGGATTCGGCTGGCCGGCAGGCTCAGCTCCATGCCAGCGCCAGACCTCACCAGCATTCCGGATTCCGGATTCCTGATGGGACTTTCTCCTTCCTTGCATTTCTTTCCAAGCCAGGTCGCTTTAGCGTTCCGGATCCCGGATTCCGGATTCCGGATTCGGCTGGCTGGCAGGCTCAGCTCCCTCCCAGCGCCAGGCCTCAGCAACATGTTGGATTCCGGATTCCGGGTTCTGGATGGGGCCCTTCTGGCTGGAACCTTTGGATCCCCTGTCGGCACACGCCCGCCCATCGCAGGCCGGCGTCGCCCAACGGCGTTGCAGAGCCAGCTGACGCAGCCGCTCTGCATGCGCGAGCTGGCTCCGCGTCTGTGCAGTCTTTGGGGCACTGCTTTCCCCGACCCCCGACGTCACGATTTTTTCATGACGCGACCCCCAGAGGTCCAGACCCATTCCCCGGGACCGGTTTTTCGTCCCGAGTCGTTTTCTGACGGTCCTGAGGCCCGGTGAGGGCCCTCAGAGGCCGAAGATAGCGAAAAACCTCCCGTCGGGAATTTTTCACAACGCGAGGGGGTCTGGGGACGCAGCCGCTCTGCATGCGCGAGCTGGCTCCGCGTCTGTGCAGTCTTTGGGGCGCTGCTTCCGCACCTCGCGGACGAGCAGAACTGCCCGGCTCCGCCGGCCGGGCGCCCCCCGAGGTTCTCGCCCCCGCGCGCGCGAGGCGGTTTTTTCCCGGGTGACCGGCGCGCACTTCGCGCTCCGCCGCGCGGGCTGTGCCTCCCCTGGCTTGCTCCGGCGCGCCTTGGGTCCGTGGGGCCAGCGCACTCTTGGGACTGCTTGTCCGCAGCACCGATGCTGTAGTCGGGTCGCTGAAGAAGGGACCCTTCTCGTTGGGGAGGGGCTCCGTGTTCCTTCCTCGTTTGACAGCCTGCCTCAGGTTTCCCTTATGCTTTCGATGGGAACTCGAGGTTTAACTTCTCGAGAAAAGGGGCCTCGTTCCTTCTTGATCGTTCCTTAGGTCAACGCTCCGACTGCATTTGCTGCTCGAGTTGTTTCCTAGGAGCGCCTCGAGCACCGCGGCCTCGCCGAGCAGTCCAGGCCCCCTCTCGCCCTGCCATCCGCCCGAAATCGCAGGCCCAGAGAGTGACACCAGCACCAATCTCGGCGGTGTGCATCTGCCGAGGGAAGAATGACGAACGAACAACACACACCCATAACCCACAGGGGGGTTGCTGGGAGGGGGACTGGCTATGGGTAGGGGGGCGGGTTGTCGGACCCTGGGGAACGCTCCCGTTCGAACGGGGACCCCCATCCGACACCACGCACCCATAGCCCTCTCCGACCCCCCTATGGGTATGGGTGTGTGTTGTTGGTTCGTCAAAGAAGATCCCGATCTCGGTGATGGTGGTAATGTTCTGGCTTCCAAGGCGACCGAAACATTGCCACCAGCACTGAAATTTAGGACCTAGGATCGTCTTCCCCATGTGGAGGCAACCCCCTGTGTTGGTGTTGGTGCCCACTTCTGGGCCTCAAACGAGAATCAAGGGGTCATCCAGGAATGGTGCCCAAGGGCCTCGTATCCAAGGCTGTCTGGGCCGCCTGCCGCCGCTCGACGGCCGAGCGGGTGCACCGTGCGGGTGGCGCGCGTGGCGTGGAGCGCCGCCGCCTCGGCGCGGCAGGGGTCGACCAGCTGGTGCCCCGGCTGGTCGACGGTGCTCGACGGGTCGAGTTCTCGACGCAGGTCAGCATCGTTCCAACGATCTCCGACCCCATCCCCATCCCCTTCGAGACCCCCGCCGAATTACCACCCCAGTTGGGGATGCACCCCTCGAAACCCGAAGAGAACGACCTATATCCCCATCTAGGGGGGTAAATCGGCCAGCGAGGCCCAGGCCGCGCCGCTGGGGATGGGGATCGGTTGAACGATACTCAGCAGGCTCCCAGTTGCGATGCGTATCCAAAAATTGGGGGCCCTTCGGCATGGATGGGCTGGGACTTGGTGAAGAACAAGTTCTGGGGCTATGAGTTCTCCAAGGGCGAACTCGACGAGCTCGAGGCGGCCATGGCGTCCGCCCTGAAGTCGGGGGACCTCTCGTGGGACGGCGACATCGCCGTCAACGTGTCGCAGGAGAACTTCCAGCTCGGCGCGGTGGCGGCGACGCTGGCGGAGCTCAGCGAGGAGCTCGAGAGCAAGGGGTGCGCTATGATCGCGAACGTTCCGGTGGAGAAGTACTCGGAGGCAGAGCTCAGCGTGCTCTACCAGGGCATGTGCGCGTACGTGGGCCAGTGGGTGCCGCAGTCCTCGGCGGGCTTGCGCTCCAGGAGCCGCGGCTACGGCATGCCTCTCGGGAAGATCAAGGCGGAGATGCACGGCAACACGCCGCTCGCGGGCAAGCAGGCGAACAAGTAGCCCAGAGGTTCACACCATTCTGCCGGATCCAAGAAGACGAGGTTCGTGGCATTGTCTTGGGACGTGTGAGGCCCATGAGGATAGTGACGATGAGGACGAGGGGAGGAGGAGACGGAGAGACTGAGGAGGACGACGACGACGACCATGGAAAACCTAACAGCTACACCTCCCAATCAGCGAATGCTCGGTGGTATTGCCTCGACGCACGTGGCCGAACACTTGGGCCGTTAGGGGCCCTCCTTGAGCACTTTTTGTCGTCTCCCCTGGGGCCCTCTTCGGATAACTCGGGTCCTCTTGGGGCCTCTTGGTGCCTTCTTGACGCCCCTGGCAATTCTAGCCGTTCTGGAGAAGGTTAAATCCGTCTGTGAGCGTCCAGGGGTCCTCTTGGAAGTGTCTTGGGGTAGTCTTGTAGGTCATGTACGGGGCCGCTTGGGCGCTCCTCAGACCTAGTTCGTGGGAAGCTCATCTTGGAGTCAGAATGTAAGGATTTCGCAGCTTATCGCACCTCGAGGCCATCCGCGGCGCATTGGGTACGGCAATGCTGCGGCCATCGTGGATGTCGTCGAGGCCCATCTTGGGGGTTCTGTGGGGCCATGCTGGGGCCATCCTGGACCTCATGGGAGCCGTGTTGGGCCGTTCGAGCAATTTCCATGGATCGTGTTTTTGCCTGGAGGGGGAAGCCTCTCAGGGACCCAGTCGTGCACTGATGACCTCGTCATCCCACCTCCCCACGCGCACATCCGCCTGGGCCCCCCGCCCTCAAGTTAGACCGTGGACTCGGGGGATAGGGAACCGGGAGAGAGGACTGACAGCCACACACCTCGCGCGCCTTCTCACCCTCGAGCGGGCGGGGGCCGGCGCACTTCCGCTTGCACACCGACCGGTGTGATGTTCTCTCGCTGCTGTCCATCCGCACGGCGGCCGCTGGTGGGCGGTCCAGGATCGCTTCGGCCGTGACCATCCACGACAAGATGCTGGAGATGCACCCTCACCTGGTGCCATACCTCTACAGCCCCATCCCACGCATCTGGGAGGCAGGCATCTCCGACCTGCCAGTCTGGGCAGTGCACAAGGGCAAGTTTACCACCCAGATCTCGCCGTCATACATTGAGAACGCGCAGTTGTGCCCGGGCGTGCGCAAGCTGCTGCCTGAAGAATTGGAGGCTATAGATCTTCTTGAGGAGATCGGCCTGGAGGTCGGCCACGATTTCCTGCAGGAGCCGGGACAGATGACGTTCCTGAACAACCACTTGGTCTACCATGGCCGCACCGCTTGGAAGTACGAGGGCGACCAGGACGATGCAAGCCTGGGGAGGTTTCCGCAGAAGGCATCTATACGGTAGGTTCGCGTCGTGCCGACCGGCGGCGACCCCGCCGCCAGCGTTCAACGTCGGACGCCGCTGGCGACCCCGAGTCGGTCGATGCTGAACGATCTGAAGCTTCGGAAACGGCCGACCGTTCAGGGTCGAACGATCCCCGCGGCGTCAGGAACCAACGCCGGGGTCGACACGACACGAACCTGCCGTACACCACCACAGTGCCTGGCCAGGACCGTCCCGGGCCCCACGGAGGGTGCGTGCAGGCCCTCCGGCGGCCGCGGCCGCGGGAGGCGTGTGTGTGCGCACGGCGGCCAGGAGAGCTGGTGGCGCACGGATGCGTTCCGCGGAAGGCTGCTGTTCCGCATGTGGCTCTCGCCGCGCAACTCGCGCGAGCTCCCCGACACGCCCGAGTTCCGCGCGCTCTGGGGCGACGTGCGCCCTGGGGCAGTGCGGGGCGGCCTGGAGCTCGGGGGGGGAGAGGCGGGCCCGATGCCGCCGCCCGGCGTGGCGGGCCCCTGGTCGCAGCGGCTGGCCTCGCCTCGAGCTTCCGGTCGGAGCGCTCCCCGAGAGGGGTCCAGAGAGTACTCCACAAGGGCTCCCACGAGGGTGCGAAGTTATTCGCGCTTCGCGCTTCGCGGTCCTCGTTCCTTCTCCTCCTCCTCCTTGTCCTCCTTTTCTCCCTTTGGGGGGGTGGCGCGAGAGCGCGAAGTTATTCGCACTTCGCGCTTCGCGCAGCGCGAAGCGCGAAGTTGGGAGCCCTCCAGATTTCGTAGTAAAGGGAGGGGGGTCTCATTTCGGGGGGGGTCTCTTCCAGGCTATCTTGGAGGGCCTGGGGGGTCTGGGGACGATGTTTTGGAGGCTTCTCCCACGGGGGAGGCCTGAAATGGCTTGTCTTGGAGGGTCCAGACCCCCTCCCTTTTGTTACGGAATCTGGAGTAGCGGCATCGGTGTTTCTGTGTTTTTTCATCCCAGGAGCCCGCGGTCAGAGCCGGGCTGGTCGAGAAGCCCAACGAGTTGACCGACGCAATCAACTCGGGGACCTATGATCCTGGAGGCTCACGTGCGCCATTCCGCCGGCACCCCAGAAGAAACACTTGGAGGATGATGAGGAGGAGGAGGAGGAGGAGGAGGAGGAAGAGGAAGAGGAGGGGGAGGAGGAGGAGGAGGAGGAGGAGGAGGAGGAGGAGGAATGCTATGGGAATGCTATGAGAACGGACCTCTGTCCTACAAACCACAAACCATTAACCCACAAGGGGTTAATCTGAACTTCCTGAATCCTCTCCTCCCACCGCCCCAACAAAATTGGGCGGCTCTCGTCGAAGAGCCTCCGCTCCTCTCCGAACGCCGCGACTGGCCTGCGCGGCGGGCCTTGCCTCCGCGGGGATGGGCGGTGGGGGAGGGTCGGAGGAGGAGCCCCCAGGCGCAGCACCCTCGGAATACGACCGAACGACGAGAGACGACACCCTCTCACCATCGCGCGCCGCCATTGCTTCCACAACGGCTTGTGGGGGCCCCTCTCTCCTCGGGTAAGCACCCTTTCGAATTCTCGCCAAATTCTCTGACCCCTTAGGGGTCAGACCTTCGCAACGCTTCCTGATGTGTCTATCATCCAGTGTCGCGAAGCGACCACACTTACTGCAGGCATGCATAAACCACTTGTCCACGTAAAACATAGCGTGGGTCTCATGAAACTCCAGGGCCCCCGAAACGAACCTATGGGGGGGCCTGCTGGACCTCGGGGGGCCGACTTCCCTCAGGGAGGGCCCTGCCTGCGCAAGGGGTGGCCGCAAGCTTGAGCAGCCTGGAGCCTGGCGCCACCTGATCACACACGGTGCATCTCCAGCCCGCGCCAGCCTTCACAATGCTGTGGGCCGACTCTCGGACCGCTCGAGCTTTCAGGTTGGCGGGCAATCGCTTGGCAGCAGCCTTGCGTTCGCCTTTCGCTTGCACTTCTACATTCGCTGACTCCGCCAGCGCTTTTCTCGCGCGGCGTCGCACAAGACTGGCGATGGCATCTATTCGGTCCGTCTGCGGATTTTCCCCCACCAGCCCGAACTTCCACGCCAGCTCCGCCCCCCCCCTCGCCCAAATATCCGCCGCTGCGTTGCCTGCCGCAGTCTCTAGCTGTTGGTCTGCCACCAGCAGCTCAGGGGATTCATCTGCATGAGAGGGTGCCCACTGTACTTCGACAGTGGCGGTGTCTGGCCTGAGGCGCCAGGCCTCTCGGGCCCTGGTCCAGAGGTCTTCGTTAGCCCCTGTCGGGCTGGGGTTCTCCATTTTTTGGCGCCCCTTCCGAGCTACCGATAAATGATCAGTTATAAACAGGAACGATCCCGAAATCTCCTCTTAAGGCCATACAAAAAGCCTGGATCTCGGAGCGCGGGACGGTCTGGCGGGCTCCGAGCAGGGGGCGAGGCAACGCTGCCTGCAAATCCAGCACGCCCTGGGACCATTTCAGGGAACAACTAGCAGACCCGCAGCGTCGTCGCCTGGGGTCATCCGAAAAACGCTCCCCCGAGCCGTCGCCGTAAATCTTTAAAATCCCGTCGCTTCCTCGAGAGGCTTCAAAGTCATCCCCCCCACCCAACCTGAGCCCCCGCCCCTCCAGACGCCCTTCCTCGAAGAGGGGGTGAGTGAGGCGAGTCGGGGGAAGGCCACGCAGCCATAAGGCTGGCTCAGCTTCTGCTTGCACTAGTGCTGCAGCTACTAAAGGTTCGCTCTTAGTAAAATCCTCGTGCTCCGTGTTACTAGAACATTCCCAAATCCTGTGCCTCAAGGTTTCGGGGGCGGCTTTACAGCTCGGGCACTCGACTGGGACCTGATATCCTTTTTCACTGCTACGGACTCGCGGCCACTGGCCGCCAGCGACCACCGTCACGATGAGCGCCAGCTGGTCGAGCATACCCTTGCGCTCGAACCGCCGCTGCTCCATGACGATGGGCCACAGATCGCCGCCCGCCTGCAGGTTGACGCCGCACTCGTGCTTGGCGGCCTCCGTCCACAGATCTCTCCTCAGGTCGCCCTCCAAGTCGTCTAGCAGCTCCTCGAAGCAACCCGCGTCGACAAAGGTGCCGTCCTCGGAGGCCGGCAGCTCCCACATCTCCATCTCACCCACTCCAGGGCGAAGCCACCGTGTCGCTGTCGTGGGTGTCCATCCTGCATCCATCAGTGTGGCAATGAGAGCGCCTGTAGGTCCACGTGCTGCTCGCCATCGCTTCGCCCCCAAACGAAGTAACCTTGATTCAATGGCATGCCACGCCTTAGCAACTCGACGATGAATGTGTGGGAACCTCTGCCACATACCAATCCATTCACGTACCACGCCCAAACGAATATCCACGGCAGGGTCGCGAAGCCCCAACTCCATGCCCAGCGTGGTCGTGAGACAGCGTCCTCCTGCCACTTTGCCAGCCTGGCGACGAAGTTGTGCGATCTCCTGCTTGGACATTCCAAAGGTCTGCTGCCCGTAGATCGCTTGTGGCAGCGCCCCCGCATTGTAGAGGCCTTTGGACTCCTTCTTCAGCGCAGCGATTCTCCTAAGCTTGACAATCCTGGCGAACCTCTTACGCGCCTTGTCTTGTGTGTGCTTACTCTTCGTCGTAACCCTTTTCCTTCCGCCAGCAGTGTCCAGCCCCAGGTCCGTTGCCACCCCCGTAGCTTTAGCTGGTATACCTCGACGTAGTAATCGCTCCGCTGCCTTCTTCGCTTGTTCCAGGTCGGAGCCAATCACTGTCGTCTTCTCCGATATTGTCATTCTCTGTCTAACCAGTCCCATGCAAATATCAGTAGAGACCTCCACCAGCTGCTCGCTTACCGCGTCGACGCTTCCCTCGAATCTGACCACCGTATCGTCAACGAACGCCCATAATCCTGCTGATGGGTTCCTCCGATGAGCCAATTCTAGCACTGGGTGAAGAAACAATTTTGTCAATGTCACCCCTCGAGCTGAGCCGGCCACCAGCGATCTGGTAGGCCATATGGCCTCGCTTATGGCGGACCGCTCCTGTAAACACCGTGGCCCTAGGAACATGACCATTTCCAGCCCCACAGCGACTGCTGGGAATCCTGACGCGCAAGCTGTCTGCATCAAGATCACCAAGGAGACCGTGTCATAGAATTTCTCGATATCTAACAAAAGCGTCAAGGCCGATGTCCCTATCTCCATCCCCGTCTCGTCCAATATGGCTCGCAGCAGCCCTGTTCTGAGTGCCGAACTGCCCGTGATCGCTGTATCCCAGTGGTCAGATAATCCCGCACTCCACATTGAGCACACACCTCCACGAGCTCTGGACCACAACTTGACTGGTAGGGGTAGCATGCCTAGCACGCGATCTCCCGCTGCAGGCCCTGGTTTCGCCACCATTGCACACTTGGTCGCCGATAACTGCCGTGGCCACGCCATCGTGCTTTCACTCCGTTGCAGTATGTATAACAGCTCTTCCTTCGCCGTCGCGGGGAGTCTGTCAATGTCAGTGGGGCCCAGTTGATCAAATCCTTTTGCCTTTGAAGCAGCAGTAACACGCAGAGCACCGTTCAGCATCTCCATGTCGATGGGGTCAAGGTCCTCCTGTATCGCTCTGCGCCGCGTGTGCTCCAGCTGTTCAATAATGTCCGTGCGCGTATCCACAGGATCCGTCCAAATGGTCTCCCATTTACTGGCCTTCGAGCGCATGGTGATGGTTGGGTCAGCCGTGGCAAAATCTGGTCTTATCGCCATCTCGTATCTGGGTGCCTCCTTCGGCTTGACGTGCCCGTGCAATATACCCGCCTTGGTCTGCCAGGCCTTCTTCGCCCAAGTCGCGACGCTTTTCCTCGCCATCGTCATCGATCTGGACGATGCCTTGGCCAGGTACCTCTCCGTCTGGTCAACCAGATTTGCCAGCTGTCCCAAGTCTAATTCTAGAATGTCCTCTCCCATTTGGAAGTGCATATTGCTGCTGGTCTCAGCGTCGTGCTTGCTAAGGGCATCCTTGTGCGAGATGCCTCTGAGCACTCCGATCTGCCTGAGGATACGCTTGACACACATGCTCTGCTGCTTGACATCAGTGCCATTCACCACCAAGGACTGATATCGAACCAAATCAGCTGCCAACATGCTCCATTCCTCTGCTGGTCCGTATCTCATGCGTGCACGTCCTGGTGCGGGCTTCGCACGTATCCATCGTATGCCAAATCCTGACGCGCGCCCCTTACACCGCAGCGCCTCCTGAACGTACATTTGCTCATTCAGGATGTGGGCCTCCTCTACCCTCGCGACCCACGCGCCGTATTGCTCCGTCAGCTGGTACTCGTCCATCTGGTGCTTCGCGCTCCTGATGATAATCTTGTCACCTATGATGCGCATCTCCTCCGTCAGCTCCAGCTTGTGATCCTCGAGGCTAACCTGCTCCCAGATCTCGCTCGTGATGTCGTAGGGCTTCGGCGGCACCGAGCCAATCAGGGTGTCAGCCGCCGACTCCTCCACCGTCATGGCCTCCGCGTAGGCTTCCTGCAGGTGCTCATCCAATGCGTGCTGCACCCTGTGGCGCGCCGCCTGCTTCTGCTTGCTCGTCTTCGAGTCTGGGTCCGCCAACTTCTGAGGACGACCTTGGTGCGGGAGTGCCTTCGGGATGTCAACCTGCCGATGCCACCACTCCTGCTTAGTGCCCTCTACCACCAACTGCAATCCACAGTGCGTGCGCCATGGTACTCGGCCCTCAGCCAATAGCTTGAGCCTGGGCGCGAAATCCAGCCTCGCAATCTGGGACCAGGTACGCCGCGACCAGGATGATGTTGCCCGATCGCGCGTGGACATTGAGCGCTGCAAATCCCCTAAACGGGTCAACGTCACCGTTGTCCACCATCCGCTTCCGCAGGACATCGTAGCCCGTGCAGGCCAGGTGGGTTTTGGCCACGATGAACTCGCCGCCAGAGGTTCCTGTCTCCGATCGCTTGGTGGGCACCGCTGCTGTGCCCGATAACTTCCAGCCGTCGCGGGATACCTCCTCCCTCACCTGCTCCAACTTGTTACAATCTACATGCGCCTCGCACATCATGATGATATCCTTCTGCTTACCGTCTGCCGAAATGAACTTGTGGGCCTTGGGCCCCCACATTGTGATGTTGGAGAAGAAGATGCTAAAGGCCATACCCACCAGGCTGCTCATCACCGTCAGAGCCGAGCACCACTTCTTTGTGCGTCGAAGTTGCCTTGCCCTTGGCCGCCTGGACCTTCTGCTCGGTCTGCTGCGTGATTTTGTCGATGATCTCTTGCCGTTCACGACCCTGTTCTGCTGCGGGGCCAGGCGGCCTGACCACTGGTGCCGCCTGCAGGCGCCGCCGCGGGCCCTGGGCCGCCGCTCGCAGCCTCGGCAGCCTGCGTCTCTTGCACCCCCTTCTGGGTCCCGCCAGTGCCGTCAACCTTCTTGCGCTTCTTCTGGGCCTGCCGCCGTAGGCTGGCCGCCTCCCGCTTGAGTTCGCTGAACTGGCGGAACTGACCCGCCGCAGCCTGGAGCAATTGGTCCAGCGCCTCCATGTCTGCTGTGAACTTCTTGAGCTTGGTCCTATCCTCCTCCTCGTAGTCGTCCAGGTCGTCGAACAGGTCGCCGACCGCAGGTGCCTGCCATTCTGCTTGGGGCGGGTCTGGGGGCTGGCAAGCGGTCTCCGCCTGGTTCGCCGCCAACGCCCTCTTGTGCTCCAGCATCGCGTCTGCCGCATCCTCGATAGCCTTCTCGTCCTTGGCGCGCAGCTGCGAGATCTTCTCCTCCGCCTCCTGCAGGGTGGAGGTCGTGCTCTCCACCTCCAACTGGCACCTGTTGAGCTTGTTGATCGCCTGCCGCAACTCCAGCTCCTTAGAGGCCTCCTTCTTGGGGGCCTGTGCAGCCGCTTGCACCTGCGACTGCACCGCTTTGACTGGTCCCAGGTCGATTTGAGGGGCCATCTGCGCCGTGAGTGTCTCGACTCGCTCCCGCATGCTGCTGAGCTCTGCCAGCGAGCCATGTACTGCCGTCGCCTTACGCCAGGGAGGCCCCTTGCCGCCCTTGCTCTTGCCGACTTCGACACCCGGTACACGTTGCGCTTGTGGCGACCAACCTGGGAGTACAGTTTGGCACTTGTAGCACCAGCCGCCCGACCTCTCGAGCTTCCAGTCGTAGACCCAGCCACCGCAGGTCTTGCAACACGTGTAGGTTTGGCGCCCGCGCCCCATTGCGCGCGCAGGCACACCGCTGGAGTTGCCAAAATCGTGTCCGAGGAATGAGTCTCTTGGCCCCAGCAGCGCGCAGCCCGACTGGGGTTGCCTGAAACGGGAACAAGCCTCGGACTAGAGGTATCCACTTCTTACCCGTGGGACAACAACATCTTGAGCCAAAATGGCTACGGAGGAGGAGGAGGAGGAGGAGGAGGGGGGGGAGGAGGAGGAGGACGACGACGACGACGACGACGATGCCGACCATTGCGGCGACGACGAAGGCGACGACGACGACGACGACGACGACGACGACGACGACGACAAGCAGCAGGAGGAGGGTGAGGAGAAGGATGAGGACGAGCTGGAGGAGGAGGAGGAGGAGGAGGAGGAGGGGGAGGAGGAGGAGGAGGAGGAGGAGGAGGAAGAAGAAGAAGTCGAGTTGGAGGAGGACGTGGAGTGAGGAGGAGTTGGAGAAGGAGGAGGAGGAGGAGGAGGAGGAGCATGAGGAGGAGGAGGAGGAGGAGGAGGAGGAGGGGGAGAGAACAACGACGACGAGGACGACGACGACGACGACGACGACGACAGCGACGAGGCTCTATTGGGGTCATTTGAGGGGTCGTCTTGGGGCCCACGCGGATGCTATTGGGACATCATTCGGGTCCCTCGGAGGGTCTCGGGCTCGTTTTGCAGAGTCTCATCAGGGCCATCTGGACAGATGGCAGTCTTAGGTCATCTTGGAACTCTTCTTTGCTCCGTCTTGGAGGCCAGCTGGTCACCTCTCGGACGTACGAGGCATTGTTTGGGCCATCTTGGCTTCACCTTGGGGGCCTCTTGGGTGCCTATTGGACCCTCTCGGAGGCATGGGGTGCGTTTCACAGGTCATCTTGGAGCTACGTGTGGCGTTCTACGGCCATATTGGGGCCATCCTTGGAGGCAATTGCGGCCCCTCTTGGGCCACTTGGGACGTTTCGGGAGGCAAGACTTATCTGGCACATTGGAGCCGGCCGCGGCGCTTTCCGGGAGCTTTTTGCAATCCCGGAGCGCAAGTTGGGGAGTCTATACAGTCGGGGCCCTGAAGAAGGAATCTTTTTCGTTGGGGAGTGGCTCCCTGTTCCTTACTTGTTTCGCAGCTTGCCTTGGATGTTCCTTAGGTCTGCGATACGAAGTCGAGGTTCAACTGATGGAAAACAGGGACCTCGTTCCTTATTTTTAGGGCTCCTTGGGTCAACGCCTCGACTGCATATGGGTTCGGTGGGCCGAGGGGGACTTCGGGGGAGAGTGCACCCGACCCTCAAGTCGGATGTCGAGGCCCCGGGAGAGCGAGCGAACAGACGGGGGGCAGCCACGCATCTCGCACGCCATCTCACCCTTGGCAAGGCGGGGGTCGGCGGACTACTACGGCCTCTTCAAGAGGCGGTTTGCAGGCCAGAGTGTCGACCCATTCGGCTCGCCCTAGGACGTTGCCGCGCTTGCACCGCCATCGCTACGCGTGCATCGACCAACGGTTCATCGACCCATGTTTTCCCAGGTCCTGCGTGCTGCATTTCGTTGCATGAACACAGTAGGTCTCATCAGGGCATCAAGGTCTCCAGCCTCGCGAATTGTCGAGAAGGCAGTTCGCAGAGGGAGCGCCACAGGAGAAGATATGCACAATTGCGGTACTCAATATAGTGGGGTCCTTCGCCAGGCTCATGTTTCGACCAGAAGAGGCCCCAAGAGGGCCCCGAGATGGCCCAAAGGTCCGAAAGACGGACTTGGGATACCCCAGGAGGGCCCAAGAAGGGCCCCAGCACTCATGTACCACCCAGCCCTCGGTTGGTACATAACTCTCGGGGCCCTCTTGGGGCCATCTTTGGGCTTCTCTTGGAGCCCCCATGGGAGAATTCTCGAGGCCCTAGAGCCTGCAGAGGTCGCCCAAAATGGCCCCGAGATGGGCCCAAAAGGGCCAGAGGACGGCTCTGGGAGATCTCTTGACGGCCCAAGGAGGGCCGCGGCAGTCATGTACCACCGCGCCCTCTGTTGGTAACTACATAACTCCCAGGGCGCTCTTGAGGCCATCTTGGGCCTCTCTTGGGGCCTCCATGGGAGGTTTCTCGGGGCCCCCAGAGCCTGAAGAGGTCCCCAAGAGAGCCTCGAGATGGCCCCAGTTAGTCTGGAAGACGGCCCTGGGAGATCCCAAGGAGGCCCGAAGAGGGCCACAGCAATGATGTACCACCGGGCCCTCAGTTGGTACATAACTTTCGGGGCCCGCTTGGGGCCCTCTTGGGCCTCCTGTGGAGCCTCCATGTAAAAAAACCGAGGCCCCCCGCCCCCGGGGGTCCCACACCTCCCCGGAACATCTGCGGAACGCTCCCGGCATCGCGCTTCCCAGCCTCCGGGGGAGCCCCCAAAACGCCCAAGGACAGCCCAAGACGACCCCAAGAAGCCCCCAGAACGTAAAAGAACGGCCCAGGACGCTCCCAAGCAACCCAAGATAGCCTTCGGACGGCGCTCAAGGCTCCCAAAGAGCTTCCAACAGACCTCAAGAGAGTTCCAAGAGGCCCCCCGAGAGCGCCCGGGGAACCTAAAATCGTCAATTGTCGTATTTTTTGTGAAAATGCTTGGCCTTCTCACCATTTCATGCTTCCAACGCTCCCAGACGGCCGAAGAGGCCCCCGATACCGCCCCAAAACCGCCTGAGAGGCGCCCAAGACGGCCCCAATACGGGCCAAGAAGGCCCCAAGACTACCGAAGAGGCGCCCAGGACAGCCCCAGACCACCCCAGAACAGGCCCAAGATGGGGCAAAGAGCGGGAGCAGGAGGCCTCCAGAGACCTCCGAGAGGCTTCCAGGACCTTCAGAGGCCCCCAACACACCCCAGACCCTTGAGAGGCCCCTAAAAAGCCCGTCAAGGCCTCCAAAACAGCCCAAGAGAGCTTCGAGAGCCGTCCCGAGAGAGCTCGAAGAGCAAAAAATCGTTAAGATCCGTTGGTTGTTCTACGTTTTTCGTCTTCTCACGTTTTCCCGCTTCCACCGCTCAGAGACCGAGAACCTTTCTAAACATTGAATTCGAGAGATTATTTGTTCTCCCGTTGGGACTCCTACTCCCTATCCTCTTTCTCGACATTTTCTTGTTCATCCGACATCCTAGACATCTTGATTCACTCGAAGTCGGGGAAAGGCCGCCGCCCCGAAAACACCAAAATCGCTGATTTTCATTATTCGTTCAAGGTTTTTCGTTTTCTTACGTTTTCGAGGGTCCAACGCTGCAGCACTCCAGGAAAGGCCCAAGATGGGCCCAAGAGCGGGAGCAGGACGCCCCATGAATTTTCCGAGAAGCCTCCAGGACCCCCAGGATGTCCAGAAGTCCCCAGATCCCTGAGGGGCCCGGTTAAAAACCCGCGAGGCCCTAAAAACAGCGCCGAACAGCACCGAGAAACAAAAAATTGGAATTGCAGAGATCCCTTTTCTTTTGAAGTTGGGACTCCTACTCCGAGAGAGCCCCAATAAGCAAAAATTGTCGACTTCCTATTGGAAAATTATCCCGGCAAAGCAACCTAACAGCGATGTGTAGAAGCATATCTGAAAGCATTCCCCTTAAGACTCAGATGAAAATCCAGTTGTCGAATTCTGCTGTTCTCGCAGTCGTAGTCGCATTCGCGATGACAGTCGCAGCGGCAACGGCAGTCGCAGTCACAGCCTCAGCCTCAGCCTGCCTCCTCCTCCTCCTCCTCTCTCCTGCTCCTCCTCCTCCTCCTCCTCCTCCTCCTCCTCCTCTTCCTCCTGCTCGTCCTGTTCTCGTCCTCCTCGTCTTGCTCGTCCTCCTCCTCCTGGTGCTCTCTCCTCCTCCTCCTCCTCCTCCTCCTCCTCCTCCTCCTCCTCCTGGTGGTCCTCGTTCTCCTCCTCCTGGTGCTCTCCCCCCCCTCCTCCTCCTCGTCCTCCTCCTCCTCCTCCTCGTCCTCCTCCTCCTCTTCCTCCTCCTCCTCCTCCTCCTCCTCCTCCTCCTCCTGGTAGTCCTCCCCCTCCCCTCCTCCTCCTCCTCCTCCTCTTCCTGGTCGTCCTCGTTCTCGTCCTCCTCGTCTTGCTCGTCCTCCTCCTCCTGGTGTTCTCTCCTCCTCCTCCTCCTCCTCCTCCTCCTCCTCCTCCTCCTCCTCCTCCTCCTGGTGGTCCTCGTTCTCCTCCTCCTGGTACTCTCCCCCCCCCTCCTCCTCCTCCTCCTCGTCCTCGTCCTCCTCCTCCTCCTCCTCCTCTTCCTTCCTTCTCCTCCTCCTCCTCCTCCTCCTCCTCCTCCTGGTACTCCTCCCCCTCCCCTCCTCCTCCTCCTCCTCCTCTTCCTGGTCATCCTCCTCCTCCTGGTCGTCCTCCTCCTCCTGCTCGTCCTCCTCCTCCTCCTGCTCGTCCTTCTTCTCCTGCTCCTCCTGCTCCTCGTCCTGCTCGTCCTCGTCCTCCTGGTCTTGCTCGTCCTCCTCCTCGTCGTGCTCTTGCCCCTGCTGAAAATGTGGCCCAGGAATGGGAGTTCTGGGAAGTCGAAGAGCACGAAGTTGCCTACAGCTACGGGCATTCAAAATGTGGCCCGGGAATGGAGTTCTGGGAACTCGAAGAGCACGAAGTGGCCTACAGTTGGCTCCGGGCATTCAAAATGTGGCCCGGGAATGGAATTCTGGGAACTCGAAGAGCACGAAGTGTGTGACTGTTGCATCCGGTTATTCTAAATGTGGCCCGGGAATGGCGTTCTGGGATGTCGATGAGCACGAAGTGTGTGACTGTTGCATCCGGTTATTCAGAATGTGGCCCGGGAATGGCGTTCTGGGATCTCGAAGAGCACTTTGTGTGTGACTGTTGCATCCGGGTATTGAGAATGTGGCCTGGGAATGGAGTTCTGGGAAGTCGAAGAGCACGAAGTGTGTGACTGTTGGTGAAAAACGAGCCCGGCACCCTGCCGCCCGGCAACTCCCCAACACCTGCCCGGACCCCCCCTGTGGAGTGATCTGTGAGCTCTTTTGAGACCACTAGAAACCTATCAGTCTTCGCTGTTAGGTAACTTATGTTTTTTGGCGTGTTCGCCTTGTGGGCTTCCACTGCGTCCAAGACGGTCCAAGAGACACCCAAGCCGGTCGAGGATGCCCCCAAGAGGGCCCCAAGACGGCCCACGAGGGGGCCAAGACGGCCCACGAGGCGCCTAAACCGCCCAAGAACGCCCCAAGGCGGCGCCCAAGACGAGGACGAGGAATCGGAAATTCGCGCCTTTTGGCCCAAGAGACCCCCAGGAGACCCCAAGAGACTCCAAGAAGCGCCCACTCCCCAAGAGGCCCCCATGAGACCAGAAAAAACACCAAACGAGGCCCCGAAGACGCCCCAAGAGGCACCCCAATAGAGCCCCCCCTGGCCCCAGGTGCCACACCTTCCCGAGAACTCTCGGGAACGTTCCCGGTATCGCTCCCCCGGGCTTCCCGGGGGGCCTCCACAGCGCTCCAAGAGAGCCCAAGACGCCTCCCAGGAGCCCCCAGAATGCGAAAGGATGATCCAAAACGCTCCCAAGCAGCCCAAGTCAGCCTTCCGACGGCTCTCGAGGCTCCCAGGTAACCTCCAAGAGACCCCAAGAGAGGTCCGAGAGGCGTCCCGGGACGGCCCGAAGAGGCCAAAATCGTAGATTGTCATTGGTTTTTTGTTTAATATTTTTAGCTTCTCGCGCTTTCGAGCTTCCAACAGGCTCCCAAGACCGCCCCAAGACCACCCAAGAGACCCTCAGGACGGCCCCAAGACGGGCCAAGAAGGCTCCAAGACTGCCGAAGAGGCGCCCAGGACAGCCCCAGATCACCCCAGAACAGGCCCAAGATGGGGCCAAGAGTGGGAGCAGGAGGCTTCCAGAGACCTCCGAAAGGCTTCCGGACCACCCAGAGGCCCCAACACAACCCCGATCCCTGAGAGGCCCCAGAAAGACCCCGACGAGGCTCCAAGAACAGCCCAAGAGAGCTGCGAGAGCCGTCCCGAGAGAGCCCAAAGAGGGGAAAATCGTTGATGTCCCATGGTTTTTCTAATGTGTTTCGCCTTCTCACGTTTTCCCGCTTCCAACCTTCGAAGATCGAGGATTTTGAAAAAAAGGGAACTCCCAGAATCCCCCTTTTTTTGTCAAAGTGGGACTCCTACTCGGGGGTCCCACACATCCCCTGACATCTGGCCGGCACCGCGCCTCCCAGCTTCCCGGGGGGAGACCCCGAATCGCCGAAGGACAGCCCAATATCACGACCCCAGGGAGCCCCCCGAACGTAGAGAACGGCGCAGCACGCTCCCGCGCAGCCCGCGGCACCCGTCCGACTGCTCTCCAGGCCTCCGGGAGGCCTCCTCCTCCTCCTCCTCCTCCTCCTCCTCCTCCTCCTCCTCCTCCGGAACCCCCAGGGGGTCCGGAAGAACCCACACCCTTGAGGGGCCCGGCTAACAAAACCCGCGAGGCACAAACAAAAGACAGCGCCGAACAGCGCCGAGGAGTTGGAAAAACATGGAAATCCCACGATTCCCATTTTTTGTTCAAGGTTGGCCCCCTTGCACAACAGACCACAATTCAGACCCCCCTCACCTCCCAAAAAAGAACCCAGGAAGCCTTTGAGGGCCCCAAATCGCTGAACACCTAAAGGAAATCAATGATTTCTGCGTTTCCGCGTTCCCCCTTCTATACGATTCCGAGGCTTGCGCAGGGCCTCCAAGGGAGTCCCTGGACGCAAGAGTCGGTCAAAATGAGATGGCACAAGTTAGCCTATCAGGCCTTGCTAGAACTTGAGCTCGCGCGGAGCGCGCGCGACGGGAGGAGGGAGGAGGGAGGAGGGAGGAGGGAGGAGGGAGGAGGAAGGAGGAAGGAGGAAGGAGGAAGGAGGAAGGAGGAAGGAGGGAGGAGGAGGAGGGAGGAGGGAGGAGGAGGAGGAGGAGGAGGAGCACCAACCGAGGACGCCACTCTTCGAGCACTCTCAGACCTGGCTCTCTCGATGGTGGGCCCCTCGGACATCCCATCCCGGCCACTCCGACCTTTGTTGTCGAGCCTTCGATTCCCTGGGGCGTCTGCACCTCCTTCTCGAATCAGTTGATTCGCAGTCCACGACATCGCAGATCCTCCTCCAGGTCCTTCAGAGCCCGGTGTCCGATGATCGCCTGAGATGCGCCGCTCTCTACAATGATCAGGCTGGTCTCGAGAGTGAGCAGCGTGAGCTCCGTCTCTTGGTGGCCGGAGTCCTGGTCACCGATCTCCTTCAGCGTTGCCAGCACGGTCTTGCCCAAAATGGTGATGCCGTTGAAGCTAGCCTGGTCGCCGTTGTCTGCCTCGATGGCCGCGCAGGTGAACGCCACCGCCTCTGCTCTGGATTTCGTCTTGCTCCTACTCTCGTCTCGAGGTCGGTGGAAATTCTTGCACTCCTTGTACCAGTGTCCAACTTCTCCGCAGTTGCCGCACTTCGTGATCAGCTTCAGTTGGGATGGCAGCAGGCGGCGCTTCTTCTTCTTCTTCTTCTTCTTCTTCTTCTTCTCTTTCTTCCAGACTCCTCGGTCGCGCTTCAGCGCCGTCTTCAGCTTATGATTCTCCTTCCAGGTCTGGTTGGTCTTGCCGATCTGCGCCAGCGTCTCCATGACCTCCGGATCGGCCCTTCTCCGAGAATTGTACCAGCACCATGGGCTTTATCCTCTGAGTCGAGCTCCTCCGCCCAGTGAGACCACTCGAGGATCGGCTCGTCGCTCGAACTCGTCGCCGCCGCCTCGGGTGTTGCCGATGTGGAGGAGGTCTGCTCCTCCAGGCTGACCAGAGTCGGATGATTGTTGTCGCCCCACACTTTACTTCTGGTGTCCAGCTTCGGTAGTCCCCAGAGAATGCCCTCGCCCAGCATAGAGCCTTTCGTCAAGTTCTTGAGATTCTGGCGGCCTTGGTCGTTGAGACGAGACCCCTGTAGCATTAGCATTCCTTGAATCTTCGGCGGGATCTCCATCCCGATGCTCTTCGCCTTGTCGAACTGACGCTTCCGCCGCTCCGCGAAGGTGTGTAGGTCCTCGTCTTTTCGGCGCTCTGCGTCCTGCATCGCCTCACTGCCCGTCCGGAATAGATCGTCGTCTTCTCTTTCACCAGGTTTGACGCCCACCCTGCGCAGTATGGTCTCCACGGTTAGCTCGCCGTCCGGGATGTCCTCGAGGCTCGAGCGGATGTCCCATGGCAGCACCTCCAGCAGCCTGTCCGTAGTTTGCGTCTCGCTCAGGTGTAGGCTCGCCTTCCAGCGCTTCACGTACTTCAGGAGGGGAAAAAACACACAGACACAACGAATCGTCGATTCCCAGGAAAAGATTGGAAAATATGGGAAGTGGGGGGGAAGATGAAAATCCAAAAAATATGGAAAAATATGGCGAATCCTGTTATTTGTGTGTATTTATGTGTGTGTGTCCTTGGGCCCCTACAGTATTGTCTCCATAGTCTGAACCTCTCCCAGCCTGGCCATGATGGAGCTGGCCTGGATTGCTGCCACGGGCCTTGCCACCAATTGGAAGTGCCCCGCCATGAGCTCCAATTGCGCCACGGATCTTGATTCGACCACTCCTGGTCTGCCCACTGCGTGTCCGCAGATCCTCTCCATGCCTCAGCAGACCTCCTAGACGGTGGGACCCTCCCCCTCCCCCTCCTCCTCCTCCCCCTCCTCCTCCTCCTCCTCCTCCTCTTCCTCCTCCTTCAGATCTTCCAGGCAGCATCCCTCCAGGGATCGTGACGGGCCCATTCATCTATCATGCTCCGGCCCGCCTCATGAGAGAGGGAGCCGCACCGCCCCTCTTGCTCTCCGACGTGTGCTTCTGCTCCGTGAGCCTCGGCGACGCGGTGGGCGCCAGCGTCGCTGGGTCGCTCTGCTTGCTATCCTGCCCAAATGATGTGGACAGGATAGCAAAATGAACGCGCATTCTTAAAACAAAGTATTGACAAAAACTATGATCTACTAAAGCGAGGAACGGAAGTACTAAATTGCGCCGCCAAATCAAGACAAGACAACGCATATCTTTAGTTAACGCAAGAATTGGCTTACTAAACTCAAAAGCGGGGTTTCTAAATCCGGGGCCGTTTTTCTAAATCCCAGATCTTATCATTACCATGACCTGAGTGGCTCCATCAGACATCTGCGTCAAAGAGCGCCCCTGCTGCGTCAGAGAGCAAGAATGTCTGACTAAGATGTTTCTCAATCAGCACACGCAGCACGATCAGTTGGCTTGCGCCAAACTTTTCGCCGGCGGCGCTAAAAATCGAATTGTGCCAGCATGCAAGAGGAGGAGGAGGCAAGGCGGGCGGCCGCGGGGGGGCTTCAGCCAAACATGTAAATGCAAACATGACAGATGCACAGATAATGTAGCACGCGCACAACAAACAGCAATACTAGGTGAGTCAGGGCGAGAGGGAGAATCATGATTCCACTGTCTTCGCGAGCATCGGCCAGGCTGGCATGAGAGGAACACGATACCGCAGTCTTGGCTAGAAGCCACCCGGTAGTTACACTAGGAGGCAGGACCTGGAGGCAGAGTTGGTGGTGGCGGAGTGGGGAGGTGCGAGATACGAGACTATTGTTTCCAGCCTTTTAATTTTTCTCCAGCAGGTTCACAGCTGCTCCGATTGTACAGGCCGAGCAGGCTTCCAGAGTGATGCTGGGCAACCTGGCTGGCTGGCTGGCTGGCGTGCGAGAGCAATGTGGTAGGCAGTTGTTTTTGTTCGTTCCACCCTGCCAATTGTTTCAGTCAAAGCTGTGCAAGAAGACATGGCCTGAATGGCGATCGACAAGTGACGTCACAAGCATAGCACACGTACGCTGTGCATGTTCGGACGGCTGCTTCGCAGAGAAGCCAAATTACCCGAGGCTCACTTGTTCGATTGGGACGGGCCCCGTAGGCCGATGGGGAGGGGGGAAAGATGGCCATGAGTGTCTTTACCGCCCCCATGTCCTCCACCCTCAAGGACTTTGCAGCCGTGGCCTTCAGATCAGGCAGGGTCCCCTGCCGCGAAGAGTCACGCGGAAGAGTGGGCGGCACACCAGTCGTGCGCAGGGACCCTTGCCGCGGAGAGTCACGCTACAGTGCGGGCGTCGCGCCAGTCGTGCGCGTCCATCCCGTGCATGTCATTTACAGGCGGGCTCTGCGAGCTCGCGCGGTTGGGAAAAAAGGCTCTTCGTCCTTCATTTCCGTTTCCGTCACCTCCACCTGTCTTTCCTCATCGCCCCATCTTTGTCAGGTTGCCGAGGCGTTGCGGGTTTTCCGCAGAGTGCAGTACATATTAGCATGGTTACGATGCGAAGGGTTCGGGTGCAGACGTCTTACGAGATCCAGCGGATTCAGGCCCAGCGGGAATTGCAGCCATCCCATCCGACGGTCCACAGCCGAAGGTTCATCTTCGCAATCGTGTAGTCTCATCCCATATGCTGGGGCAGCCCAGGTGAGAGAAAGAGAGAGAGAGAGAGACCGCGGAAAGGGATTCGGTTTTCCCATCCGCTCGCTTCCCTTCCCTCGTTCCCTCCCCCCCCGCTGGCCCCCTCCTCCCCCCCCTCCCCCTCCCCCTCCTCCTCCTCCTCCTCCTCCTCCTCTTCCTCCTCCTCCTCTTCCTCCTCCTCCTCTTCCTCCTCCTCCAGTCAATGCACCCCTTCCGCACCACCATTCTTTCGCCCTTCCTGCTCTCTCTCTCTACTTGCGCGCACTGTGCTGTACTTCACTGCTCGTGACTTGTGTGTTACCTGAAGTTGTTTGGCTCTAAGGAAACAGAAAAAATAACGATCCTGCGGCGCGCGCGTGCGTCGGCTGGCAAGCCGGCCTCCTCCCTTCAGTGCTACCTTAGGGTACGCTTGACGGCATTATCCCTTTTTGCCCATGTCATCGGCGGAGCCCACTGACCATGAGACATCATCGGGACATATTGCAAGGATTACGAATATCCAGGCAAAAGATTGGTTATCAGCCGGAACGACGGCACAGCCGCTCGCTTCGCAGAGCATGGGATATCAAGAAGGAACGCTCGGGCGAACAGAAGATCGAAGACCTTCCGAGCGTCACACAAGTATAAGCTCTTCAACAAGGCGGCAAAACCCGTTTAACCTTCCCAGTAAGAGAGCATCAGAGACTATGTTCGACTTGGCAGAAGGGGATTCATCTGTTGATTCAGTGACGGGATCCAGAGAACAGTACTCGAGCGGAAGGTATGGCACAGCCAGAACTTCCGCCGAGGGAACTTCTGAGTTGGTGTCGGCACGCCCTGGCTTTCAGCCATCGACCGACGTAGATCTCGGAATGGGAAAGTTGTTGGATCATATCCCCATCGGAACTTCAGGCGCTGAAAGTGTGGGCGCCGAGCAGGCAGTGCAATATACGTTGCATGGACAGAGTGAGGATGTGAGCGATTCACAGCTGGAAGGGGGCAGTTCCCATTCGATAGAAAAGAACGAGGAATATGCCCAATTCCACACCTCGCCTGGTCCGTCGCGTCATCCCGAGCCTCTTCTTGATCTGTGTGTCGGACTCGCTTCTGACCGTACAATGATAGAGGCAAGTCAGACAGCCATCCTTGATTCTGCCGATGATGATTAAGACGGAGAAAGCCTAACTCAAGGTGAGCGCTCATCGGCACAGCCGATATTGAGCCCCCCCGACGCAATGCGCGCGGTGAGAAATACGCGAGAAGTTACAGACATGACTCCCCGTCTGATTGCGAAGAAACTGAAGGGTGAGGATGACGACTTGAATGCCCCACCCTTATCGCAGGGTTTTTACCGAACAGCGAAGACTGATAGGTTTCTGGTAGGGCCAAAAGAGAGCATCATGACTCCCCAGGGGGGTCTGGGCGAGGTCCGGACGGGATCCAGACGGGATCCGGACGGGAATCCGGGGATCCTATTTTTAGCCAGCAGTAGCGCACTTCGTGGTCTTCGAGTTCCCAGAACTCCATTCCTGGGCATGATTTTGAATGCCCAGAGCCAACTGTAAGCCACTGCGTGTTCTTCGAGTTTCCAGAATTACGCTCCTGGGCATGATTTTGAATGCCCGGAGCCAACTGTAGCCCACTTCGTGTTCTTCGAGTTCCCAGAACTCCATTCCCAGGCCATTTCTGAATGCCCGGAGCCAACTGTAGGCCACTTCGTGGTCTTCGAGTTCCCAAAAATCCATTCCTGGGCATGATTTGGAATGCCGGGAGCCAACTGTAGACCACTTCGTGTTCTTCGAGTTCCCAAAATTCCACTCCCGGGCCACATTTTGCATGCTGAGGCAGGCTGAGGCCAAGGCTGGCTGAGGCTGAGGCCGAGGCTGAAGCAGACTGAGGCTGAGGCTGAGGCAGGCTGAGGCTGAGGCTGAGGCTGGCTGAGGCTGAGGCTGAGGCAGGCTGATGCTGAGGCATGCTGAGGCTGAGGCTGATGCAGGCTGAGGCTGAGGCAGGCTGAGGCCGAGGCTGAAGGCAGACTGATGCTGAGGCTGAAGCAGGCTGAGGCTGAGGCTGAGGCAGGCTGAGGCTGAGGCTCAGGCTGAGGCCGGCTGATGCTGGGGCAGGCTGGGGCTGAGGTTGAGGCTGATGCAGGCTGAGGCTGAGGCAGGCTGAGGCCGAGGCCGAGGCCGAAGGCAGACTGAGGCTGAGGTTGAAGCTGAGGCTGAGGCTGAGGCAGGCTGAGGCTGAGGCTGAGGCAGGCTGAGGCTGAGGCTGAGGCTGAGCGGGGCTGAGGCTGAGGCAGGCTGAGGCTGTGGCCGAGGCTGAAGAGAGACTGAGGTTGAGGCTGAAGCAGGCTGAGGCTGAGGCTGAGGCAGGCTGAGGCCAAGGCTGGCTGAGGCTGAGGCTGAGGCAGGCTGAGGTTGAGGTTGAGGCAGGCTGAGGCAACCTGAGGCTGAGGCCGAGGCTGAAGGCAGGCTGAGGCTGAGGCTGAAGCAGGCTGAGGCTGAGGCAATCTGAGGCTGAGGCTGAGGCAGGCTGATGCTGAGGCAGGCTGAGGCTGAGGCTCATGCAGGCTGAGGCTGAGGCAGGCGGAGGCTGAGGCCGAGGCTGAAGGCAGACTGATGCTGAGGCTGAAGCAGGCTGAGACTCAGGCTGAGGCAGGCTGGGGCTGTGGCTGAGGCAGGCTGATGCTGAGGCAGGCTGAGGCTGAGGCTGAGGCTGAGGCAGGCTCAGGCTGAGGCCGAGGCTGAAGGCAGACTGAGGCTGAGGCTGAAGCAGGCTGAGGCTGAGGCTGAGGCTGAGGCAGGCTGAGGCGGAGGCAGACTGAGGCTGAGGCTGAGGCAGGTTGAGGCTGAGGCTGTGGCTGCGACTGCCGTTGTCACTGCGATTGCCGCAGGGGTCCAGAAATGATGGCCGCAGGGGTCCAGAAATCTGCCTGTGGGACGTCCTGCACGGTAGAGCAAAACTGAAAGCCGGGAAGGTTGTTGGCAGCGACGGGGCCACCCCAGAAATTTACAAAGTCTTACAATTTTTATGCGTATGTGAATTTGGGCAACATTTCCGAAAGAGATTTTCTGATGTCTGGAGTCCTGATCCCCCAAGTTGGAAACACATCGATTTCACAGGTATCCCAAAAATTATTCATCCTCAGACGCTACCAGATTTCAGGTGGGTGGGAAAACTTGACGTCTGCTCAAAATGGTATCTTCTTGGTGTGCAGCCGCATTTGCGACCCTCAGTTTCTTCGAGCAGTATCGCTATGTTCGGTTTTCGTCCAGGCCACTCTTGCGACGACGTCGTGTGCATACTACATCAATGCATTTTCGTCGCAGCCCGTTGGGGAAAACGCTTGTGTGTCGCATGCATGGATATTGAGACTGCTTTCGATAGCATGCGGCATGGACGTTTGAGCCAAGCCCTTCTGGCCAGAGGGGTGCACCCTCGCATGGCAGCTGCTCTGTTGAGGGAGCTTTCCAACATGAGGTGCAACATCGCGCTCCCTGGGGCTGACCCCTGCGAAAGGTTTCCTTTGGAAAAGGGTGGAAAGCAAGGCGGCGTGGAGACACCAGAGCTCTTTAACATTATGTTGGAAGTCGTTTTTGCCGACGTGTTCGAAAAATGGCGCCGTGCCCGGTACGGATTTGCTTTGGACGAGGAGGGGACCGAAAGAGTAACGCATTTGATCTGGGCGGACAACATCTTCCTCCTGGCTTCTAGTGTGGAGGAGTTCGTGAGCATGTCGCAAGATTTGACAAATGCTATCACGCAGTTTGGATTCACATGGAAGTTGTCTTCTCTGGAGTGTCTCTTGTGTGGCCCTGCCGCAGCTGGAGTCTCTACCAGTATTTGCGTCGTCGCTGACCGGGAATACATTTTCAAAGTCGTTGATAATTTGCACGCTTTGGGCACACTTCTGAGCGCCGAGGGGGACACCAACACTATGGTGGACCACAGGTTGGCCAAGGCCGAGAACAACTTCTGGAGCAACGTACGCGTATTCAAAGGTCCTGGCAGCTGGATGTCAAAGTTGAAAGCGTGGTCTCGTGGGCCGGCGGCTTCCTCTGCATATTGTTGCTCTACGTGGCACCTTTCTGACCGCATCTTAACCAAGGTCAAAATCTGGGAGTTCAGAATGTTACGAAAGATGTTTAGTTTCCGCCGGAGGCCGGGTGAGGGGCACTCCCAATTCATGATGCGGACGGCCCGCATAATTGAACGTCTATTTCTTCAGTCTGGTGTTAAGCCGTTGCATTGTCGTGTTCTTCACAGTGTGTTCAGAAGCTCTTGGCGAGAGAAGTCCGCGCCAGATCACGGGGGCCACAACTACCTGAGGTCGTCGCGATTGTTCCGATGTGGGATTCCATACGTTCGGCGGGAAGCGAGAGGAAGAGGCGCAAAGAAGGACTGATACACGCAGGGTTTGGACACAGAGTTGAATGGGAGGACGCTTTCGTGGCCGTCTTCGACGACGAATGGCGTTTTCAGCGGGATACGTGCAGACAGGAATCGGAATGGTTGCAAACGTACGCTTTCTTCGAGAAGCATTTGTGTTCGAAGTGGGGGTTGTTCTGCTGCCAGCCCGACAGCGCGGAGCAGAATCTCATTGTTACGCCAAAGTGTCCCAAACGAAGAAGGACTCATACACATCTGCTGGAAGATCTCCCTGGAGACCACGGGCCGGGAGCACCTATTGTGAAGTGGGATGGACACCGCGGGCGCGTTATCTTCATCACGGACTGTCGGCCGCTTGCTGGCATCACCATGGGCTCAACCGTCTTGACAACTCCGTCCTTGGCACCGCTGACGCATCGTATAACAAGGAGCTTTTGGGAC